AAGGGGGGGGGGGGGTGAGGGGAAGAAAGGCGTTGTGGTGTAGGTTACTCTCAATGAAACTCTCAAGTTCTCCGTCCATTAAGGCTACAGCGGCGGTGTGTTTTCTTCTCCTAAGTGCTCCATTCTTCCTCACCTCAGCCCCGACTTGACAGCACACCTCACAGTCTGCCTATTGATCTCCCCCTGACAATGGTTGCCCTGGAGCCCACAGAAATCCACACTCAATTACAATGGATTGGTGTTCTTTCCTTGTTTTACCAATAATATCATAATATAATATAGCTTTCGGCGTTTTGTACCTCCCCCAACGCCCCCCACACCTTCCTACTGGCTGCGGTTAGCGGTTAACAAAACTTGTTTTCTGTCCATGTCAACAAATGTTGTGGTTATGGGGGAAACTCTGCTCGAGTGGGTGGTTGGAGGGTGCTCTGACGGTCAGCATCTGGCTTATAATGTTACAATTCTGGACTAATGATGTGTGTGTTTGTGTGTGTGTGTGTTTGTGTGTGTCTGTATGTGTGTGTATGTGGGTGTGTGTGTCTGTGTTTTTCTGCACAAAGAGCTTTCCCCCACCTCAGGGCAGTGCCACTGACTGAAGTGTCTTTAGGCCATTCCCAAAGGCGGGATATTAACATGTTCTTAAGCACAAGAATTGTAAAAGGGCTGATTCATCAATGTCATGCTCATACTGTGCCGGAACCACCATGGGGGAACTGCTGCTTTTCCTTTCCTTATCCTTACTATGGTCATTTTTCCTCTACTGTTTTTGTATGTTTGTCACTCTCTTGTGAACTGCTATTTCCGGGGTGCCTTGATAGTTGAAGCAGATTTTGTGCTGTTGAGGCTAGAGAGGTGAGCCGAGGAAGTCTGATTCCCTGTTTGGGCTTCTCTGTTAACATCCACCCCTTGGCGCTCATATGACCTTATGCAGTTGGGAGCGCCGTAAAACCTTACTAAAACAAACAAACAAAGAGCTAACAGTTTTTGCAGTAGACAGTGACACCCACTGCTATGACACGTCTTGTTGGACCAGAAACCCGACTGTCACGCCCACAGTGTATAAAAATAACGCATACACATTAGTCGTAACACTTTGTTCAGGCTTTTGACAGTCACTCGAGAATATGTCGGCATATTCTCACATCCCCTCGTGACATTTCTGGCAGATTATTCAGTCTCACTGACTGTTTCAGTCTCTTGCTTCCTCATTTACTTATCACTGCCTTACTTTTTCTCTGACTGACTCACTGACTGACTCACTCTCTCACTCCCCCACTCACTCACTCACTCACTGACAACAATGTTGAACACATGCAAAAATATACCCATTCATACTTAAATAACTTCCCACTTTCCCCCCAGAATGTTATCAACCTTCCTGTACCCACCCGGCCAAAGATTTGGCTGATCGTGCATGTTTTAGCAAGCTGATCTCTATACCACGCTGAGAGACAGGGCTTGTGGGTGGTTGGCGAGTGCTCTGGTGTGGTTTGCTCCTTCTTTCCTATCAAACGTCTATCGTCTTTATCTCTACACCTTCTTTTTTATGTTTATAACTCTCTTGTAACACATCTATTCTTCAGCACTTATATGACCTTATTGTGTTGCAAGTGCCATAAAACCCTTATTAAAACTAAAAAACATATACATGTATATATATATATACATCCAATTTTGCACATAAGAGACAGGAGAGAGAGCATCATCCCCCAGCCCTGTGTACTACAGTGGAGCCTGCTCTAACAGCCACTTGTGAAAATAACCCACCAGATAACCCACCAACATACGCACAATATGTCTGTCCCACCAGATAACCCACTAATATATACGCACAATATATCTGTCCCACCAGATAACCCACTAATATATGCGCACAAAATATCTGTCCCACCAGATAACCCACTGATATATACGCACAATATATCTGTCCCACCAGATAACCCACCAACATACGCACAATATGTCTGTCCCCCCAGGT